GGTGACAGCCAGACCAGGGCCTGGAGTTTGACAGGCTTAATCCCCTTGCAACACTCCTGCAAGGTGGCCAAGCTAGGCATTTGCCCCAGCCCCACCCCCCCATATTAACGATGGGGAAATGGAGCCTCCCGAAGCTTGCTTGTCTTGCTCATAGTCCCCTCTTGATTGGCTGACAGTGGGCTAGATGGACCCCTGGCACCTTGAGGGTGGAGTCAGGCAGGCAGGGCTCAGGGCACTGGTGTCTGATGGACACTAATCTCTCTGAATGAATTGGGGTTGGTTCTAAGCGACACTGGCTTCTATCTTTCCCCAACCTGTAAGCAGCCTGGGATTTGATCAGAGTTGATTATGACTCTTTCCCCAGGGGTGATGTTTGTGGGAGGAGCAATGTTTATGGGAATGAAAGCAAAGAATGACAAAGAGGTTTAGGGAAAACCTGATACTAGCTGGTCCTCAAGATCTGGGGAGGAGGAGGTTTCCATGCTCTCCCCCACCCCACCGTTCTGGGCTCCCAGAGTCATCTACTCATCTCCTCCTCCTCTACATACTCATATTCACCCCTCACACTCCAGTGGCCCAAGCTCAGTCCCTTCAAGGGAGGCTGGTCTAGTTGTGTCCCTCCCCAGGGGGAAAGGGAACTGGGACTTCCTGAAGGGTCTCTGCCACATCCTTCCTATCTGAAATTATCTCACTCATGCATTTACTGGGCATTGCCTTTCTCTCCCATTGGATTGCAAGCTCCCTGAGGACAGGCATCTTATCCATCTTGTTCACTGCATGTCTCCAGCCCCCAGCACAGTGTTTGGCACATGGTAGGTGCTCATAAATATGGGTAAATAAATAGCTAAGGCTCAGAGTCCCTCTTTTCAAGATAAGAAATGCAGAATCTGGACTTGGACATGAATACATTCAGCAGAAGGCAGGGAGGTAGGACAAAGGCCTGGAGAACGTGTACAGTCCTAAGATGGGAGAGTTTATAAGAGATGGGTCCTGCTAGTCAGAGTATCAGGAAATAGCCACTGCTGCATAACGACCTTCCCCAAAATTTAGTAGCTTAAAACAGTCATTTAGTTTGCTCACAATTTTGTACTTTGGGAAGGGTTTGATGGGTATAGCTTGTCTCTGCTCTGCACGGTGTCGTTGAGGCCAAAGGATTCACTTCCAAGATGGTATTGTAAGTTGTTATTGACTGTTGGCTCCTCTCCACAGAGCTGCTTGGGCTTCCTTGCAGCATGGTGGCCAGGTTCCAAGTGTGAATGTACCAAGAGACAAGAAGTAGTTCCCATCTGAAGCTGCATCATGTCCTCCATATTCTACTGGTTGAGAAGTCACAGAGCCAAGATTCAAGGGCCTCTTGATGGGAGTGGTGTCAAAGAGTTTTCGGGTGTGCTTTAAAAACACACCTAAGGTTTCCTGGAGGAGAGGAGTGAGCAGCTACACATATTGCAGGGTTTGGATGGGGCCTGTAAGCTCCCTAGTATGGCTGGAGCAGCCTTAGTCTACCACCGGATGACTGAGGCCTCACTCCTGCTACCCTGCAGAAGCCTGCAATGTGCATGGCGGATTACAGCCTCCAAAAGCGGCCGCAGCACTTCCAGTCCCACATGTGCTTCTGGAACATTACTCTCCCCATCAAGAAGTGCTATCGATTTTCATTCCCCTTGAATCTCCATGGGCTTGGGACTACCTTGATGAATAGAATGTGGCAGAATTGATGCTTCTTGTGACTACCTTGATGAAGAGAATGTGGCAGAACTGGTGCGCCTTCTGAGGCCAGTCATAAAAGGTGAAATGGCTTCCACCTACCTGCCTTCCCCTCAGACACTCGTTCTTGGATCCCAGCCACCATTCTGCAAAAAAGCCCAGGCTGCATGTAGGTGCTCTGGCTGACAGCCCAAGCTAAGGTCTCAGCATCAACCATTGGACATCTTAGTGAAAGACCAGCCTTTGAGTCTTCCAAAGACCCAGATAACAGGGGGACCAATGACAAATCATCCCCACTGTGCCCTACCTGCATCCCTGCCGCACACAAGCCATAAACATCATAAACTGTTGCTGTGTGACACAAAGCAAAATATAACAATAGGACTTTGGGAAGCAGTTCCATGCGCAGGAGTCTGGTGGAGCCTCACCACAGAACAGGTTGGCCACTGAAGCTGGCATTCACCCCCGTAACCTGCACGGCAGGGAGAGGTGTTGTGGGCAGAAGAAAGGGCAGGTGTTCAGCCTTGGGCAGAAGGGTCGCCAGTGGGGCTAGAGCACAGCCCTGTGGGAATGCGGTGGTCAAGGAACCACCTGTCATCCTGAGGGTTCAGAGGGACTCTTGGTGGTATCTGCTTCCAGGAGAGGGGGTGAGGAGGTGAGCTGGAGTCAGAGGAACAAGGCCACTGGCCAGACCTGAAAGTGGGAACAAGGCCTTCTCTGTGGTGGGATAAGAAAGGGTCTGACCAAGCTGTGGGATGGTCCAAGGGCCAGGAAGCTGTGCATAGACCACTGGGCCCTGGCATTGACAGCTGGGTAGCTCAGGACCAGGGGCAGAGCTGAGGGCAGGAGGTAGGGATGTTGAGGGCCAAGCATGTTGTCAGAAAGGCAGTGAATGATGATCTCTTTACAACATGGCCTTTGTTGGTTGTCCTGCCCTTCACAGCACTCTCTGGGGGACTGGGTGTGACATCCGCTGCAGCCCCATCACCCTTTCAGTTATACTTACACCTTGTTAAATATCCCTTCACTTTTCTGAGTCTGACACATGGGAGGGGCTCCTGCTACCAGGCAGCTGCTGGAGTTAAGCCCAGATGATGGGTTGGTGGCATGCCCTCGGGACCCTTCCGGGGCTCCACAGCTGGCACAGCCCAGGCACTCTCTGGTGGTTATCACTGAATGGCTGGGCAGCATCAAGTCCTTTGTGAGGGGCCATCCCCATCACTGCAAGTGCCTGTGGGAAAACGCAACTGCCTGGCTGCTGTAAGTCCACCCCTCAACTCGGTTTCTACCATTTGCTGAGCAGGAAGTGGGAGTGCCCCACCACAGAGGGCAGGCGGCAGGCTCACGCTGGGCCCCGCTCACCCACTCACCTCTGTGGTCTCCTGGAACCCCTCCCAGGCTGCATAGAGGATTTCCTCTGGGCTACCTTAGTATTTAATTTTTTTTTTTTTGGTGTTTGTTCCTAATATAGAAACAAGTCTCTTCCAGCCACTCCTGGCAATCTGAGGGGCATTTTGTGTGTCCCCAGCACCTGTGCAGCCTCACACTTTGAGGGTATCCAAGCACATCTGCTGGAGGAACAAGTGGCCCAATATTGAATGGGCCCTCTGGGTCGGTGTCATCTGTCCCCTCTCACCAACAGATATGCTGCTCAGAGTCCAGAAGTTACTGGTGATGCACACATGTCCTTAAAAGGCTAAGAATGCTGGCTGTGGCAGAGGCAAACTACTAAATGAAAAGGAGCCTCAGTAGCTCTTCCAGCAGGGCCTGACCAGCTGTGGGTAATGTTCACTTGTGAGAGGGGGCAATTCGGCAGGCCTGGGAGCAAGAGCTCACACAGAGGGCCTGCCCTGGCCCTTGAAGAACCACAGACACCGGGGCGGCAGCCTCTCAGCACAGCCCTCATCTGTGAGGACTCTGGGCCCACCTGACAACCTGCACTCTCTTCCCACTCACCCCCGGCCTTGGTAGGGGGTGAGCCAAGGAAAATGCTTCTGCCTGGAGAAGGGGCTCAGGAAGAAGGGTGTCTAGGGTGTCTTAGCTTCAGTTCTCCAAGAAGCTGACCCTGAGAGAAGATTCGAGAGCAAGTGGAGCTTAACCCTGCAGGGAAGCCTTGGGAAACCACCAGCACTCACACCAGGGTGGCTCCACCCAGGGGCTAGGGGCCTGGGGCATTATGCCCCGACTCAGCCTACGGCTGAGAGCTGCTCCCAAGAGACGGCATTCCCTCACACTTGCTAGCGACTTTCTAGGGCCAGGAGCCCAACCTCAGGTGGAGAGGTGCAGGGAGGGCAGGAGGAGGTTCCAGAAGCAATGAAGTGGTCACGCTCAAGGGACATGGGTGAGGCACTCCTGGAGGCCAGTGGGGGATGCCAGTGCATGTGTGGCTGTCACTGGTCTGAGGAAGCTGGGGTCACCTTCACTAGCATGAGCCATCTGAGGAGCGTACCAGGCCCTCCAACCTTTTGATGGTAGAACCTGTGGGGAGGGGCTGTGCCCACAAGCGGAAAAGCTACTTGCTAGCTGGGCTGGGGACAGAGGCCCAGGCTAGAGATGGGCCCAGGTGCAAATTCTAAGCTGCCATTGGCATCAGGGCTCTGCCTAAGCTATAGAGATCCCCCTCCCCATCCCTCCTAGTTTGTCACTTAAGAGTATACTCATCTTTCCCCCATCCTCACCTGTGGCCTTTTCACCAATCTCACATTGGATTGGTGGAAGTGTGGCTACCAGGGCAAACCTGGTGCTGATGGATAGCAAGCCATTGGGGCCGCCCCTAAAATGGTCTCTTGGACCAGTGGGCTGAGCAGGGCTGCCTCAGGGTGGGACCCGGGCCCCCCAGCAGCCTCTGAGGTCCTGGCTGTCAATGGTCGGGGTAGGACTACATGACCTCCAGGGGCTCTTCCAGAATTAAGCATCATCTTTGAAACTGTCAGGCATTTCATGGTATGTCAGGCTCTGTGCTAAGTACTTTCAATTGTTATCCTCTTCAATCCCTACCACACCCTATGAGCTAGGTGACTACTATTATCTTCCGTTTGCGGATAAGGAAACTGAGGCCCCAGAAGTTAAGAAACTAGCCCAAGGTAGGAAGGGTATGTCAGAGTTGGGTGTGAGCCCTGGGCCAGGCCTAGGACCTGCCCCGTGGTGCAGTGAGGCTGGACCACAGTGCTGGGGCTGGTACATGGTTCCATTGTCCACTCCCCGCCTGACGATGCACTCCGAGGGACTCCTCTGGGCCGGGCCTGATCAGCACCTTGTGCCCCCATGCATGGCCTGAAATAAGTCAAGCTACAGTCTCAGTTTCACATTAGTCTTTTATTATAACCATATTGAATGGGATCGCTTTGCCAAAAGGAGAAATCATTTCTTAAATCAATATGAGTTATAGCATAAAGATGGATGAGAAAAAAGCGATAGGACATAAATGGCATCACTGAATATTCCATCAATCAAATGAATTGTGCCACTGTAAGAAAAACTGCTATGACAGCTTTTACATCAAAGTGGTCTCAAGCCTGTTTATACCAACTTTATACATCTTTATAACACCATAAAAAGAGAGCTTTAGAAAGTAACACTGAGAAAGCAGTCTGGCCTTTGAGAAGGAAGCCTGGCTTGCCAGGCGCCATCCTCAATGCATCCGGCCTCTTCCCTCTGCTCCACAGCCTCCCCAGTGCCCCTCCTCTGGACACACAGGGCAGGGGCCAGGGGTCAGGTGTGTGTCCGCAGGAAAGAAGGGATGGAATTGGTTGTAGCCGCCACAGAACGGCCACTCTATGTGGGGACCTAAGTCCTCCATACACACTCCTGTTCTATAATGAACCCCTGGGGCAGTTTCTTAAAAAAAAAAAAACAACACAAAAATCATGTGCATCAACTCTGACAGGTTATTATTAGGAGGCCAGCATGACTGCCACAGAGCTTGCTATTTGTTCAGCATCTCTGACAAGGAGAGGAGGCATTCCCGCATTCCCGTTGAGAGCGGCAACTGACCCCCAACTCCCTGAGGCAGCTTCCTTAGCAAGCCCAGGGCTGACACACGAGAGTCCATCGGTCATCTGCAGACAAGGCAAATCACAGGGAGGTCCTGGTTTATTTTTAGAGTCACATTCCTTCTGCAGTGATATTATCTCTTTCCAGATTGCAGTTACCTCTGAACATCAGCAGGAGGTCAGCTTTGGCAGAGTAATCCAGTGTAACTAAATGTTTAACGTGTTATCTGACCCTGTGGCATACACTCAAGGTAAGGCAAAGTAATTAGACTTGCTAGTCTGTAACTCTCACACGTAATGTACAAAGCTAAATTTTAGCTCAAATTCCAATCCGATCAAAGAGGAATGCATAAAACACATAGGGGCATATATAAAAAAAGGAGATGATGATGGGAATTAATCTAAGCTTCATGTATACAAAATGTATTTAACTGCTAATAATCAAAACATAACAAGAGTTCCACTGATTACTACATTTGTTAACAAAACACAATATATTCAAGATTTAAAAAATGTGCAAGTAAACATAAGTATCTGATAAAATAATAAAAGGAACACATATTCTTTAATAGCACTGTAACTAATAAAATTGCAAATAATACTCAACTATGAAGAATAAAAAAAAAAACACTTAAAAAACAAAAGGCAGTAATACAATTGTCTGAGTATGAGCCTGTGGGAATTTGAGGCTGGTACTGCCCATGACCCACTGTTCTTGTATGTCTCTCTCCTCCCAAGAGGGCGTGAGCTTGTTGGGGGACACAGAAGCACTATCTCTGAGTGAACCCATTGGTCCTCACATGCCACCAACATAGGAGCACAGAATAGAGAGGACCACGAGGTCCTGCCTCTAGTGTGCAGCAGGGCTGGGAGTTTTCAGTAACTATTAAACACCCAGCCAACTGCAGGGAGCCAGCGGAGAGCCTTATTGGCATGGTGGGTGCCTAGTGACTCTTGCAGGGCCAGAGACCTCAGCTATCATGACTCTAGCTCTAGGGCAAAGGAAATACTAGAGGTCAGCAGGTGACAGTGGCCCAGCTGCCCAGGGATGACCAGCTTTGTGGTCCTTTCCAGTCGATCCCAGAGCCCTGGCAGGAACAGTTCTACACCTCTTACCTGAGAACTGAAAACACTGACACCTTCCCAAGGTGCGAAAGTGACCAATGGCAACCCTGCACAGCTGCAAGGTCACTCACTGTATGGGGGCCCCGTGGCTTACAAAGTGTTGTCATAGGGATATGTGCTTGGCAGCAACTTACTCAGAGGTGCTGAGAGGAACACTCAGAGCCAGAAGCCAGGGAGCTACTGTGTGCATCTGCCAGGCAACTGCCCAGTGGTTGAAGGCCAGACAACCTGTTGTCTGGCAAAACCACAGTTATTATTCACCTTACATGCTGATGTGGGAAGAGGAGATTTCCCTGCCAGAGTTTAAGAGCAAACTGCAGAGCTAATGAGAACCCTCCTCTCTCCAGTAGCTGACTTGAGAGGGAGTCACCATTTTCTTGGAGGGCGGGTGGGAAATCATTGTCATTATCACATTTGTCTACACAGATATATAAGGTGAGCAGTGGGAGGGACGTAGACAGTGTCTGCTCCTCTATACTGAGCTTTCATTTGTTACCATGAAGGCCTCCACTGCCCAGCTGCCTCGCCATCCTCTGAGGACAGGCTCAAAGAGTCAGTCATCCCTGGTATGGCTGCTCTCCCTGATGGAGGCGAGACAGGCACTGTGTCCCTCTGCCATCCTTACCCATTCCTGTTAGAATTCCTGCGCAGGCAGAGGAGAGGAAAAGCATCCTTTCCAGGGAATCTTCTTTAAAGAGAGAAACAACTCATGTGATGCTCTGTGCCCATGATGGTTTCCTAAGGTGCTGGCTGACAAGGGGGAGAGTCTCTGTGCAGCCCAGGAAGGCACTGGCATGTCAGACCCGGTCCTGGCAGTGGTGCCCAGGATGCAGGTTCACAGATGAGCACAGGCCCTGCAGTTCCTACATTTGACTTCCAAGAAGGGAAGAGGTTGTGCAGAAATCCTGCATCCTCTTGGCATCTGGAATGTTCTCTAGGTATCCTTATTCCCCACAGAAGGGACTCTAGGTCCAATTCTCTAAGTCTTGTGACTGCTACTTTAAGGCCAATGAGGAATTCTGACTTTGGGTGGGAACGAACTTGGGTTTTTCCCTTTACTCCTCAGTTGACAGGTGTATATATACAGCTCTGAAACCAGAGAAACTTGACTAGAAAACTGTCTGAAAGATGTTTATCCCATAAAGTCAAGGCCACATTTTCCATCTGAAGGATAGTAATATTCTTATATCTTTTGAAATCAGTGCAGCAAAAACTGGCTTATAGTAACCTTGTTTTCTGACTATGAAAGATTCTAAAAGGTGAAATACAATTGTTTAAGGAGAGACATTGATGGCCTAAGGACTGGAGATGCATTCTTTAATACATCAAAAAAAATCTGATGCTACATCGCACCTAAGTATGATTCCTAAGTTTAGACCCTGTTTGCAGAGATCATTATAACTTTGAGAGGTCAGTAATGGGTTTGTTTTTTTCCCCCCAGCCCTGGAATCCACTAGTTCTAGTTCATTCTATCGCATTTAGATCTGCGATATGGCTTCCCAATGCAGTAATAAAGTAGGCTTAGACAGATTTCCACAGAGGAAGCTTTCTTGGTATAAACCAATTTTCCTATGTCTGGTGCTTTGAGGGATAGAAGATAGGAAAAAACGATTTCTCCTCCTTCTAAGTATAACTGATGGAGTTGCCACACATTCTTGGCTGGGAGGAAGGGGACAGAGGAAAAGTGTTTCTACTTTTCTAACTGTGAGTGTGATACTGGGTGTGTAACTCAGCTCTAACTCAGAGCAAGAGTCGGGTAGGGGTTAGGTAAGGGCCCAGAAAGCCCTGTCTGCATTTGGCAAACCTAAGCCTGTGTGCTTTGTGGCCATATATGCTTCTCTCTAAGGGGTTTCAAAGGGCTAGACCAATGCCAAATGCATGCCGGGAAGGAAGCAGTGGTTTCAGAAGGGTCTCCACTGGGCAAGCCTCAGTCTGGCCTTGGGGCCACTAAAGGGTGGCTGGATCCCTGTGGGGCAGGACTGGGCACTGTGGTCAGATGTCCAGGGGACTCACAATGGTGAAGCCAGAGTCCTTGCTACTGTCGTCATCAGGGCTGGAGCTGGGGTTGCTGGAGGAAGCTGAGGCTGGGCCCATCAGCGGATCTGAGAACACCAGTGGGGAGCAGGCTGGGGCCTGGCTTTTCCCAGAGGAGCTTCTGAGGGTGCGAAGAGGCTGGGCCTGGCCAGAGAAGGAGCCCCTGGCACTGCTCCCATCATCTTCTTTGGAAATCAGGATGAAGTCATCGGAACTCCCTCTATCGGTGCACCCTGGCGTTTCTGAAGAGGCCTGTGAAGTGCAGTGAGAAGTACAGGTGGATGAAAGAAGAAACCGGCAAAGAACTGAATGGAAGGCCCTGTGAACTGGGGGACGCGCTGTGGAAAGCTAGGCCACCTCAGCCTACATTCGATCTTGAAAGACGCAGTGTTTGACCTGCTGCCCCGAAGCCCACGCATTTACCAGTGGTGCGGTGCCAGCAGCATCTTGTAAGCCCCTCCAAAGCCAAATGCTGGCTTCCCTGAGGGAACAAAGTAAAGCTCCTGTTTGACAAGCTTCAGACGGAGGCAGTGCCTGTGCTGCTGGGGAGAGCCAGGTTCAGGAGCTGGCCAACAGGTTGCAGGCAGAATCCCTACCAGCCTCATGTGGGACCCTGCCACGCAAATCACCCATCCTTCTTGAACTTTAACTTTCATCTGTGAAACAGGGATAAAGACAGTGTCTTCCTCCTAATGTGTTGTCATGATAGAGTGAGATGACATGATAGAGTGAGATGACATGATAGAGTGAGATGACATGATATAGTGAGATGACATGATATAGTGAGATGACATCATAGAGTGAGATGACATGATATAGTGAGATGACATGATATAGTGAGGTGACATGGGCAGCTGCTGGCTCCCTAATGTGAGCTGCCAGATCTGGAGTGATTTTATTACTGGCTAGAAGGATAGCTTTCAGAAGGCCTGAGGTATTTCATCTCATCTAGATCTCATTGCTAGCTCATCTTGGGTATGCACATAGGGGTCTCCTGGAGCAATGGTGGTAACCACTAGGTTCTATGAATGGGAAAACCAAGAATGGCAATTGCAAAGTATAATGGCAAAAAGTATAGAGATAGAATTGCTTTACTCAACAATTATTTTCTTTTTTTTTCTAAGGAATTATGAGTAGCTTTTTATTTTTTAACTTAATAAAGTTAACATCCACGAACACAGGTAAAGGTTTTGGGTTAGCAAAGCCATAGTTTGACCAAGGACATCCAGTGCCAGCCTGGCAGAAAGAATGCCTCACCCAGTGGTGCTGTAAGGTGATGTAGTGCCCACACCTGCCTCCCTCACCCTGCCGGCCTACCCTCCCCACAGCGTGGGTGGAGTCTCGTGCTGGGGTCTCCAGTCTAATGAGATATATGGAGACCCCTGACTGGAAGTGTCTCCTGAGTCCTTGGGCCTCCAGACTGGCATGGCCTCGGCCATCTGTGGGCGCTGTGGGCTGTGTGCAGAGCCAAGAAGGGGAATGAGTAACAGTTCTCAGGAAAATCTGGCCTTGAGCCCTGACTGACAGGCCTCTCTCTAAATCTCACGTCCTCCTCAGTGATGTAGGGGGCGAGTGGCTAAATAATGGCTCGGGAACCTTCCACCTCTAATGATTCACCAACCTTTAGGATATTCAGTTGGAGAACATAAACAAAATTGGCCTTTAAGATCACAGAGCTGCAACAGGCCTTGAGGTTCTTCATCTCAGGTTCTAAAGCTGCTAACATTCTATCAACACATTAACTCCTACACAAGCGAAGAAAAACGTAGCACGCGGTAATCTGGTAGCAGGGGATGTGATCTCAAACGACACTGGAGCTGTTTGGTAGAGAAGGACTGTCTTTTTTCTGAGTTGGAGGAAAAGAACTAAAATCTCTTCCCCATGACTGTCTCTATATAAGGTGCACCTGGTAAGAGCCGTGCTGCCTTTGGGGAGTGCACTGAAAGCTGCTGGGGAATCAACAGAGGCCCCTGGGTTTGACTTCTTCCAGAGTGTAGACACTTTGTTCACAGGACAGTTGTCCTGCACTGTAAACTGTGAAAATCTTGACCTCTCACCACAACACAGGGCTGGAATGCTACTTGGTGGAGCTTATCCTAGGTTGAAAATAGAAAAGCACGTTCAGCAGGGCCTAGTTTTTAGAGTGGTGCCTCTGCTTCAGAGATACTGAGATCACTTATTCTCCTTTAGCTTATAGTAAAGGTGTCAGTAAGATTCTGAAGTGGAGAAATACTTTTCAAAGCCCATGACTAAAAGTAAAGCTAGTTTCTACCATTACTCTAGGTATTTAGCATGCTTCCCCCAGTTCCTAGATGAAGGTCACAGACTGCCTTCACAGACAAAGCAAGTTAGAGCTGACAGGTCCTTAGCAGGCATTTTCTTTTACTGACCCCTCTCCTTGCCCCTTTGCATTACAGATCAAGCAAACAAGCCCAAATAAGAGACCTGGTAGCTTGGCCAATGTCACAAGGCACAACAAAAGACCCCACTCTTCTGGACTCCCACCTATAATTTTTTTCTAGATGCAGAGCTGACTTCTGTATGGACTTCTCTAGCAGCCTTAACTGCTATCTGGTGCCATTTATAACATTTACAGAAGTGTTGTAAATCCCTAGGTCAATCCTCTCTTTTTACCAGATATGGGTAAGTCTTACACAATTAGAAAAGTCTTCAACCTGTCAGTCCTGCCTAAAACTAGCCAGGATCATCACAACACATATCCCTCTTACCCACTGTCTGCCATCTTCCCAGTCCTACCCCATTTCACAGCTTGAGTTTAGGATGGTTGTAGAAGCAGGTGAGCCCAACTATAGACCAGCACTGTTCAACAGACATTTTCCATGATGATGGAAATGCTCTCTATCTGTGCTACTCAGTACGGCAGCCCCTAGCCACAGGTGGATGCCAAACACTTGAAAAGTGGCTAGTGTGACTGAGGAACTGAATTTTTAATTCTATTGAAATTTAGTGCATTTAAATTTAAATAGCTATGTGGCTGGTAGCTGTAATAGTAGACAATATGCGGATTAAAAGAGGGGACCCAAGTACCAAAAGGGCAAGTGATGTGCTGGCTGACTAATGGACCCAGGGTCCCACAAAGTCTGCCTTCTACTGTAGTTGATTTGAGTTAGTTCATCAAATACTTCCCAAACGAATGTGTGAGGATAGATGCTGAGAAGGGAGGGAGAGCGTGTAGCTCTTCTCACTCTATAGAATACAATTTCACAAGACTGCTGTTTTCAGAGCTGGAGGTAAGATTTGCAAACCAAACAGAAAGAACACGATGAGCCATGTCACACCAACCTTACAGTGAGGAGCAGGGCATGTGAATTCCCACAACGGAAGAACACTTTCACAGTTGCTTTTGAGGAAGGGCATCAGCAGGGGGACCATGAGCCATGTGTCACTAGGCAGGGGAGCCTGGTCCTTCTGCACTATCTTTTAGACATTATTTACTGATTAACCAAGAAAGCAACGAAAACCCATCCCTAAGTTAGGAATGTGCTATGACACAACCCATTACAAACCCAACATGTGGTGCTTACATCTCCAATGTGTCAAGAACCTGCCTAGCACTGCTCCCCTAGGCCCTGGCCCTCCATAACTGGGAGCTCATGAGAGCAGGGGATATATCCCATAGTCTTGGACAGTAAAACCAGTTCCTGGCACAGCAGGCCCTGGAAGCCTTCAGAACTCCCACTTGGCTCTCTTGGGACGCATGTTCCTGGGTGTAGCCTGTCCACAGCCCTCTGTATCTCTTCCCACAAGCAGTGAGGAGGAAAACCTAGCCAGCTCCAAGCACTGATGAGTTAGCTCCTGCAGGGAGAAGGTGGGTACTTGGCAGCTATCTCATGCCTGGTAGACCCCCGGGGCCTTTATCAGCCTAGCCCAGATCCTTGGGTTTTGCAGTGGAAGGCCCCATGCACTTGGCTTCTTTCTGACTTGCTTGAATTCAGGAATTCTCTCAAGAAATCTCAAGATTTCCCTGAAGGAGAGAGGAGAGCACTGCTTCTCTGTTTCTCTCTTCTTCAGTAAAACCTTTTTCAGGAGTACTGGCTTTGTATAAACTGCTAACAGCTATGGGGAAGGGCCATGGCAGAGAAGAGGTAGAGAAGATAAGCCATTTTATTTTCACTTGTGGGGTCTCAGCCCCAGGAAGGGCAGACTGTGTCTCAGAAGCACATGCAGAGGTGCAGTGTCTCTCTTGGATGCTGCACGTGATGGGGCCCTGCCAGAACAAGGGCGCAGTTTCATTCACACAGACACACCTCATGGCTAGCTTATCTTGGGTATGTATGGCGGGGTCCACCAGGGCAGCAGTGGTCATTGGTAGGTTCTTACAAATACAGAAACCAGGGATGACAACTGCAAAGTATAACCATTAAGTTTTAAATTTAACAAATTCATTAGTGGTTTTAAAATATCTTTTTTCTGTAGCAAACTGACACACTCAACTAAAAAATTATGCTAAGGTTTTAAATAAAATTTTCAATTATAAATGCATTGTGGCTGGGCCTACACTCAGTAATATTTGAATAAGTAAATGATTATTGAAAAATAAAACATCTGTGCAAGGAAGGAGAATCTGTGAAGAAACGAATGAAATTAAACTGGCAGTATCACTGTCGCATTCATGTGGCTACAAATGCAGAGCCAAAGCACTCCATGAACATTTCATACGGCCTCAAGCGGAAGTCACCCACGGAGTCTCTTCTGGAAGAGCACCCTTAAAACTGAAAAACATTCCCACTCAAATGTCATTTTGCTGTTTTAAACTCACACAAAAAATAAATAATTTACAAGTGTCTGAATGCTAGTTTTTGAGAAAGTGACTTAGATAATATTTTGCTAATGTTCATTTTCCAAGATGAAACTTTGTAAGCTGATTTAAAAAATATTATTAATAATTTAAAATATAGGTGGGAAATGAACAATCTCTTTGTCTTATCGGATAATGGACAGCAAGGCAGCATGGTGGGACTGAAGCTTACTGGGTTGGGGCAGGGTTTCTGAAAACATAATGCCTGGCAGGCTAAGTGCCTCTGGCCTCGGAGCCTGTGTGTGTCTCTCTGACCTTCATTTTCTCACTGGTCAAATGAGCAGGCAGGACTAGGCACATAAGGAAGCTGTAGGAAGATCCTTTGTAGCTGGGAAATTCTGTGGTTCTGTGATAAAATAAATGATATACAATGTCGACATCTGAGAGTAGGGGTCAGCACACTATGGCCAAATCCAGCCTATGGCCTGTTTTTGCATGGCCCCCAAGCTGAGCATGGTTTATATATTTTTAAAGGCTTGTGATAAAGCAAAAACAAGATACAAACACACACACACACAGAAAAAAACAATGAATATGTGACACAGATGACCGTATGTTGCCTGGAAATCCTGAAATACTCTGAAGGCCTTTACAGACCCCTGCCCCAGATGGCAGACATTAATGAGAAGTCCCTCCCCATGAAGGCAAGAAAGTAAGTTTGGCAAAAAAGGTTCTAGCAAAGTGAAATCCACTTGAGATAGCATTAGGAAAGCGTAGACAGTACTTCCTAAAGGGGAAAAGGGGCATCAACTGGAGGCAACTGACAACCAAGACAGAGATCCAGCTCTCCCATCCCACAGAATGGGCATGGCAGGAGGCTCAGGCAACACTGCTGCATACACGTTTGTAGGGCACTTACCGCATGACTCTAGGAGACACTTGTCTCATCAGTATCATTGTGAATGGCACCCCCTGCAGCACAGAGTGCACAGGCTGCACAGCTCTACACGGCACCTCCACAGCTGAACTTCACACATGATAATCTGAAGTAACTTTGATAGGGTTTATATGATTCTTAACTTTGAGGAACTTATGTGAATGTGCTCCCTTTGAGTTAATGTAACATGTGCATCAGAGCTTCTGTACCTGTTTAATGACCCCAGACATTTGATCGCTCTGGCCCTGGCCTCGGCCCTGGCCCTGGCCGCTGGAGCAGTAGTGGTTGTCCGCGATGGTGATCTGTTCGTTCTCTTCGGCCTCTAGCTGGCTCTGGTTAAAACGCAGGGAACCTTTTAGAATGTCTTTGATCTATGTTCAAAGAAGAAGAAAATAAATGAATAAAATGGATGAGTTTGTTTTCAGATGCTAGCTAAATCTCTCAGACATTTAAACTAGCCGTGTCATCCATCATTTTTAATAGTATGAATATTAGTATTTTACTATAAGAAATAAATAATGAGAAAAAATCTAATTTTATCAAAGCTGCTGGCTTAGCAGTGAGCAAGAAAAACGTCAGGACATTTAATAGCCAAGTTCTCGCAGGGTCACATATGGGAGTCACATACTTAACACTATCTTAAAACAGGAAGCATAATTTGCCTCCACACCCACTCCCACTGCACAGCTTACTCACTAAAGTGGCTCCACCTGAGCTGGACTGTTCATCGCATAGGTAGGCATCTGGAAACAGCATACTCTTTTTCACTGACATTTATGTTTCATTTAGATCTTCAAGGCTTGGGTCAATGTGGTCCTTGAGGGCCTAAGGCCTGCTGTAGGTACTAATTATGACTTGTGCTCCAAAGACATTCATGAATTCATGGATGAATGACTGAATATGATGCTGGTCTACCCACACTAGCTTTGGGTAAGGAACAAATAGAATGGGTTTGGTAAGAGGAAGGAGAGGTGTGGAAAATGGAAAACCAGTGTGGGTTGCAAGCTAGTCAGATATAATCGTTAGAAGGAACAGGGGGCATAAAGAGGTGGAGATGCAGAAGGGGCTCTGTCTGGGAAGAAATAAGGGTTAGGGGGATGCTGGCTCTAACATGGTGCTACATGCCCTGGGAGTCCGTCCCCACAGCAGGAGGGACACAAAGAAATAGTGTCAGAGCAATGCATATACCTGTTTTAATCCTGCCAGGGAAACCAGAATTTGATCTTCTTTTTCCAAATTTTCTTGTAATATCACATCTTGAATATTTACTGAAAATAGAAGAATGACATTTCATAACCAATGCTCCGAGCATAACCTACCTGCTGCCACACCGTAACTTCAGACAGGCTTGGGAAGTTTTCTGCCAAATCTCACAGCAACTATTCCCACAAAGGATGCTCTGCAAACTGCAGATGGGGAAGCTGCAGCGTTGAGTGGAGAGGGCAGCACTAGGCCTGATACACACAGCCTCCCCTCCAACATTCCATGAATGTGCTCTCATCATGACAGATGTGTCTTCACTTCCAACAAGAGATCTGGGTACCTCTTGCTGACACGATGTGGCCGACAGCCTGGGCCATTCATCTAATCTCTAGGAGGAAGCTTTTCAGCCTGGGCTTCCTATATAGCCTCATGGGTCAATGATGTTACCTCACCTCTCTCTAAAGACCAATTCCTTCCAGGTGACTGAAATTAATAAAGAAACTGTCTTTAAGGATTTATAACATAAAACATGTTGCCATTTCAACATGATAGTAAAAATGAGAGGCCAACCTCATGGCACTACAGGTTGTCATTAGATGACAGTGTCTATGGAGTCTCCTCTAGGAGACTTAGCCGCCACATGAGAAGTCTTTCCTCCAGACCTGATCTGAGGAACCCACCAAGCCAGCTTCTGACCATCAGGCTCAGCACTGCACTGAGCTGCTTGCCTGTCGGTATGTTAAACACTCAGTGGTCCTTAGCCTTCCTTGCTTTCATCTGCCTGCAGGGATGCACACAGCTCTAGCAGGAACTGTGGCATTCTGAGGCAGGATTCTCACAAGGAGCCGGGGTTGGGAGGAAAGCCTAGTTTCCTGGGGATGTACAAGAGAATGTGTTGGTGGAGGAAGGGAGGAGAGCACAATTAAAACACATTTAAAAAAACATGCTGATAGATACACCAATCTGAGAATCACTACAGTGAGCATGTTCACCCTCCATTAACATCTGCTTTCTTATTCTTTGTGGTGTAAAAAAATGCCCCACTTATAATGTCTTCCATGCTACATTCTTAGTCACTCACTGAAGATTGTTCCAGTTGCTACGGGACTCCTGGATTCCATGCTTGGCTCCGTATAGCTACTAGGGCTAATATACCACTCCTCACTTGCTCAATGCCCTGCACTGGCAGAGGCAGGGTCAGTGCACTGTGCCCTTGGCCTGGGGGCTCTTGCTCCAAATCTATGCACACAGGCTTTATTGTTCAACTTTCTGCTTCGGTGTTGTCTCCTCAGAGCAGCCTTCCTGCCCACCCAGACTAAAGAAGCCCCTAAAGGACTCTCCAGTCTCTACCGTACCGTCTGTTTCACTGTATTTGTCAGCGCTTGTCACTGTCTGATGCATGTATTTGCTGGTTTATTCACTGTCAGTCTCCCCCTAACAGGATATAAACTCCGAGGTGTTCTTGCTCAGAGCTCTATTTCTAGCCCTCAGAATAAATGCCTGGTGCATTACAGGTACGTGATAAGTATTTACGGACTGATGGAATGAATTAATAAATGAACATGAAAAAACATGCTTGGAGCTTGCATATCAAAACACTACTATTCTAAATATTTCCAAAAAGTATTTCCAGTAAGGGACAGGGCAAACACTGATACCATCAACATGCCTCCAGCCTGATAATTTATTAGAATCTTCAGTAAGACTAAATTCATAAACCAGGGTGATAAGTCTTCTTACATACTGTAGCAGAAAAGCAACAGCTTTTACTTATTGAGAAAACTTGACTGTAGTTTTGGCTATTAGAATGGCCTGCTACAAAACAAGAAAGCAAGCGGAATGGGAATGGAATGACAGATGTAATCAGAGAGCAAATGTTTTTGGTTTCCTTAAAAGCCTGTAACAATTTGTTTTCTCTCAATAAAAAAACAAAATAGAATCCACTCAACAAGACATTAACAATAAGCAACTGCAGAAAATTCACAAGAACCAATTCTGTAGGTCTTTTAGAGCAGCAGTCCCCAACCTTTTTGGTACCAGAGACTGGTTTCATGGAACACATTTTTTTTTCCACAAATGGTGGGGGAAATGGTTTTGCGATGAAACTGTTCCACCTCAGATCATCAGGCACTAGAGTCTTACAAGGAGCACACAACCCTGATCCCTCGCACGCACAGTTCACAATAGGGTTGTGATCCTACCAGAATCTAATGCTGCCTCTGATGTGACAGGAGGTGGAGCTCAGGTGGTAATGCTGGCTCACGTGCTCCTCACCTCCTGCTGTGCAGTCCAGTTCCTAACAGGCCACGGACCGGTACTGGTGCATGACCCAGGAGCAGGAACCCCTGTTTCAGAGGATTGAGAAAGATGACTTTGTTTGCAGGACTGCTATGGCTTTTCAGGTTGAGCTGTGAGGGCCTGAGGGCTGGCAGAGGCAGCGTGGCACATAGCACTGGATGTTTGGACAGGGAAATGGATTTTGTCCCTGCTGAGCTGAAAGGTGGGCTCAGGTTTCTCAGCTCCTACTGGGTAGGTGGGGGCAGCAAGGAGTCTGCTCCCAGGGCCCCAAAGGAAGCTCAGCAAGTGGAATCAGGAGCATCAGGATATTTGGTGGAAGAACAGGGGGCTTCCTGGGTTCAAGGAACTAAAGAAAGTGCCCCTGGAGGTCATACCCACAGGGCAGAGGCCAGCACAAAGGGGGAATCTGCAGAAACCAATGTAAACTGCTGTCCTAACTAGACCTTTGTCTCCTGCTTGCCCCTTTGATAGTCTGCTGTGGAACACATCCTAAAACAAGAAGATGTGGCCATTGCCTGGCTTCGGCCCCCAGTGTAATGGCGGGGCCCATGGCCAGCAGCAACAAGGACCAACGGCCTTTAGGTCACAGTCTATGGGCATACAGGGCAGTCAGTGGCTCTAGTGGAAAATGAAACCCAGAAATGTACAGGAACACAAAGCTCTCTTTAGAGGCAAGGACCTAGAAGACACTCAGAAGCTCTTCTGCAAACACCAAAGAGACACGTGAACCCATTCCAGAACCCTGGCACCATCTTGGCAGGGAGAAGAGACAGAGCAGAGAAACTAAGTGTGGGCACTTGCTCAGAAAAAAATGGTTAGTCTATAAGAGACTGAGTTGTCTTTAACTGGCAAGTTCAAGGCCTTTGATTATCATTGGTGGGGATGAAGTTTTAGAGCACAATTTCTGCACACGTGAGTTTAGGGACATAGATTTATCATCCCAATACAGAAGTATCAGTGTCTGCACAAGATCTTCCCAAATCATTTTGGCCCCATTGCCTGAAAAACCTGTGAACCAGGAAGTCCTAGTCATGCCCTGTTTTGCTGTGAGCCTCTCACAGATCCATCTATTCAAGAGTAGAAGTGGTGGTGCTTGCAGGGGTAAGTTGAGAAGGGGAGTGGTGGTGAAGGCAAAAGCTGTGATAGGGACCACAGTTTAAGGAGGCACCTGGAACACATCATGGAGCCACTGTCCCTGTTTAGACTGTCTACCTATGGGCTTCTTTTAGTTGTGGGAAAAAAAAGTAACCTCCTGATTTGTCTATTTTTTGGAGGGGGATGCAGGTTATGTTATTAGCAGCTGTATTCATTTTCTAGAGCTGCTGTAACAGAGTACTACAAACTGGGTGGCCTAAAACAACAGAAATGTATTCTCTGTCAGTTCTGGAGGCTAAGTCTGAAATCAAGCTATTGGCTATTGGCAGGGCTACGCTTCCTCCAAAGGTTCTAGAGAATTCCTCCTTGACTCTACTTAGCTTCTGGTGGTTGTCAACAATCCTTGGCATTCCTTGGCATTCCTTAGCTTGTAGATGCATTGCTCCAGTCTTTGCATCCATCATCACACGGCATTCTCCCTGTATGTATGTTATCGAACTTCCCCTCTTAAGGACACCAGCCACTAGATTAGGGTGAGCCCTAATCTAGTATGATCTTATCTTCACTGAACTACATCTATAAAGACCCCATTTCCGAATAAGGTCACATTCACAGGTGCCAGGTGTCTCACCATAAGTTCAGATGAGACAATATTGGACCTAGTACAGCAGACCTAGTACAGCAGCCAGACTGCCTAATTGTAACACAGGATGAAAGCATCCAGTTCCTCCAATAAAAGACAATGCAACCTACTAATCTTGTCCTGCATGCAGAATTCAATGCTCTGGCCTGATGTCAAGACAGCTGCAGAAAGCAGTGCAGAGTGGGTTCACCCAAGAAGAGGGAAGAACTCAGAGCTGTGGTATCACCACCAGCATACCCTCATCTAGCAATTCTTTAGCCTTAATTTATGGACTGAGTCAAGGACCACCTTTTAGGACCTGATGAAAATGAGGACCGTCTCCCCTGAAAACCAGGACCATCTCCCCTGGTTAAGTGAACTGTTCACTTAATTTCAGGGATAAACCTTTTTTTTAAATCAGCTGAGCTGACTAGGCTCACTTTAAGAAATCCAGGGTAAATTCAAATTAAAACAAAAGGGCACCTTCAGAGGCTGCTAAATGTTTTGAATACAAGAATTTACATTTTACTAAGAGTACTGACCATGTAAATCCTTTCCCTAACAGTTCCCCTATATAAGGTAGCACTTACAAGCATTCTACTTACATATAACCTCCTAGTCACAAATCTACTGTTTTAAGTAAGTTACATCTGCATGTAAAAGTAGAAAAACTTAATGATGTCTTTCCATGACTTAAAATGTTTACATTTCCAACGTAAAATACAATTCTCCTCATAGCCAAAGGCAGAATAAATTTTGCTATAAAGGCTCTTTCTCTTTGTTTCTGTGTAAAAGGAAGATTACACTCTTTATAATCTCCTCACATTTAAGTATTATGTATTATAAATGTTGGAGCACTGAAACTAAAGAGGAAAATGTCACATAACTAACCACTTCTGTGGAAATTACACACAAAAATCTCATTCACCTAACAACCCCGTGGTGATGCCACTATTTTTAATGGAATGTCAGTGCCACAGAAATAGATCTCTAACTCTAAGGGTAATGAAAATGGTAAACAAACCACTTACCCAATTTCTTAAAAACTTA